TAGTGAGTGTTAGTGGTGTGTTAGTGTGTGTTTGTTAGTGTGTGTTAGTGGGGCCTTAGTGAGTGTTAGTGGGGTGTTAGTGTGTGTTAGTGGGGTGTTAGTGTGGTGTTAGTGAGTGTTAGTGGGGTGTTAGTGAGTGTTTGTTAGTGCGTGTTAGTGGGGTCTTAGTGAGTATTTGTTAGTGAGTGTTAGTGGGGTGTTAGTGTGTGTTAGTGAGTGTTAGTGGGGTGTTAGTGTGTGTTAGTGGGGTGTTAGTGTGTGTTAGTGAGTGTTAGTATGGTGTTATTGGGGTGTTAGTGAGTGTGTGTTAGTGAGTGTTAGTGGGGTGTTAGTGAGTGTTTATTAGTGAGTGTTAGTGATTATTTGTTAGTGTGTGTTAGTGGGGTGTTAGTGATTATTTGTTAGTGAGTGTTAGTGAGGTGTTAGTGTGTGTTAGTGGGGTGTTAGTGAGTGTTTATTAGTGTGTGTTAGTGAGTGTTAGTGGGGTGTTAGTGGGGTGTTAGTGTGTGTTAGTGGGGTGTTAGTGGGGTGTTAGTGAGTGTTAGTGGTGTGTTAGTGTGGTGTTAGTGAGTGTTAGTGGGGTGTTAGTGTGTGTTAGTGGGGTGTTAGTGTGTGTTAGTGAGTGTTAGTATGGTGTTATTGGGGTGTTAGTGAGTGTGTGTTAGTGAGTGTTAGTGGGGTGTTAGTGAGTGTTTATTAGTGTGTGTTAGTGAGTGTTAGTGATTATTTGTTAGTGTGTGTTAGTGGGGTGTTAGTGATTATTTGTTAGTGAGTGTTAGTGGGGTGTTAGTGTGTGTTAGTGGGGTGTTAGTGAGTGTTAGTGGGGTGTTAGTGTGTGTTAGTGGGGTGTTAGTGTGTGTTAGTGAGTGTTAGTGGGGTGTTAGTGTGGTGTTAGTGGTGTGTTAGTATTTGTTAGTGGGGTGTTAGTGTGGTGTTAGTGTGTGTTAGTGAGTGTTAGTGGGGTGTTAGTGAGTGTTAGTGTGTGTTAGTGAGTATTAGTGTGTGTTAGTGAGTGTTAGTGAGGTGTTAGTGAGTGTTAGTGTGTGTTAGTGGTGTGTTAGTGGGGTGTTAGTGAGTGTTAGTGTGTGTTAGTGTGGTGTTAGTGTGTGTTAGTGGTGTGCTAGTGTGTGTTAGTGGGGTGTTAGTGAGTGTGTGTTAGTGAGTGTTAGTGTGTGTTAGTGGGGTGTTAGTGTGTGTTAGTGAGTGTTAGTGTGTGTTAGTGAGTGTTAGTGGTGTGTTAGTGGGGTGTTAGTGAATGTTAGTGTGTGTTAGTGAGTGTTAGTGGGGTGTTAGTGAGTGTTTGTTAGTGTTAGTGAGTGTGTGTTAGTGAGTGTTAGTGGTGTGTTAGTGAGTGTTAGTGGGGTGTTAGTGAGTGTTTGTTAGTGTTAGTGAGTGTGTGTTAGTGAGTGTTTGTTAGTGTTAGTGAGTGTTAGTGGGGTGTTAGTGAGTGTGTGTTAGTGAGTGTTAGTGGAGTGTTAGTGAGTGTTACTGGGGTGTTAGTGAGTGTGTGTTAGTGTTAGTGAGTGTGTGTTAGTGAGTGTTAGTGGGGTGTTAGTGAGTGTTTGTTAGTGTTAGTGAGTGTGTGTTAGTGAGTGTTAGTGGAGTGTTAGTGAGTGTTAGTGGGGTGTTAGTGAGTGTTTGTTAGTGTTAGTGAGTGTGTGTTAGTGAGTGTTACTGGTGTGTTAGTGAGTGTTAGTGGGGTGTTAGTGAGTGTTTGTTAGTGTTAGTGAGTGTGTGTTAGTGAGTGTTAGTGGTGTGTTAGTGAGTGTTAGTGGGGTGTTAGTGAGTGTTAGTTAGTGTTAGTGAGTGTGTGTTAGTGAGTGTTAGTGGTGTGTTAGTGAGTGTTATTGGGGTGTTAGTGAGTGTTTGTTAGTGTTAGTGAGTGTGTTAGTGAGTGTTAGTGGTGTGTTAGTGAGTGATAGTGGGGTGTTAGTGACTGTTAGTGTTAGTGAGTGTGTGTTAGTGAGTGTTAGTGGTGTGTTAGTGAGTGTTAGTGGGGTGTTAGTGAGTGTTTGTTAGTGTTAGTGAGTGTGTGTTAGTGAGTGTTAGTGGTGTGTTAGTGAGTGTTAGTGGGGTGTTAGTGAGTGTTTGTTAGTGTTAGTGAGTGTGTGTTAGTGAGTGTTAGTGGTGTGTTAGTGAGTGTTAGTGGGGTGTTAGTGAGTGTTAGTGATGTGTTAGTGAGTGTTAGTGAGTGTTTGTTGGTGAGTGTTAGTGGGGTGTTAGTGTGTGTTTGTTAGTGTGTGTTAGTGGGGCCTTAGTGAGTGTTAGTGGGGTGTTAGTGTGTGTTAGTGGGGTGTTAGTGTGGTGTTAGTGGGGTGTTAGTGAGTGTTGGTTAGTGCGTGTTAGTGGGGTCTTAGTGAGTATTAGTTAGTGTTAGTGGGGTGTTAGTGTGTGTTAGTGAGTGTTAGTGGGGTGTTAGTGTGTGTTAGTATGGTGTTATTGGGGTGTTAGTGAGTGTGTGTTAGTGAGTGTTAGTGGGGTGTTAGTGAGTGTTTATTAGTGTGTGTTAGTGAGTGTTAGTGATTATTTGTTAGTGTGTGTTAGTGGGGTGTTAGTGATTATTTGTTAGTGAGTGTTAGTGAGGTGTTAGTGTGTGTTAGTGGGGTGTTAGTGAGTGTTTATTAGTGTGTGTTAGTGAGTGTTAGTGGGGTGTTAGTGTGGTGTTAGTGGGGTGTTAGTGGGGTGTTAGTGGTGTGTTAGTGTGTGTTAGTGTGTGTTAGTGGGGTGTTAGTGTATGTTAGTGGTGTGTTAGTGTTTGTTAGTGGGGTGTTAGTGTGGTGTTAGTGAGTGTTAGTGGGGTGTTAGTGTGTGTTAGTGTGTGTTAGTGAGTGTTAGTATGGTGTTATTGGGGTGTTAGTGAGTGTGTGTTAGTGAGTGTTAGTGGGGTGTTAGTGAGTGTTTATTAGTGTGTGTTAGTGAGTGTTAGTGATTATTTGTTAGTGTGTGTTAGTGGGGTGTTAGTGATTATTTGTTAGTGAGTGTTAGTGGGGTGTTAGTGTGTGTTAGTGGGGTGTTAGTGTGTGTTAGTGGGGTGTTAGTGTGTGTTAGTGAGTGTTAGTGGGGTGTTAGTGTGTGTTAGTGGGGTGTTAGTGGGGTGTTAGTGTGGTGTTAGTGGTGTGTTAGTATTTGTTAGTGGGGTGTTAGTGTGGTGTTAGTGTGTGTTAGTGGGGTGTTAGTGTGTGTTAGTGAGTGTTAGTATGGTGTTATTGGGGTGTTAGTGAGTGTGTGTTAGTGAGTGTTAGTGGGGTGTTAGTGAGTGTTTATTAGTGTGTGTTAGTGAGTGTTAGTGATTATTTGTTAGTGTGTGTTAGTGGGGTGTTAGTGATTATTTGTTAGTGAGTGTTAGTGGGGTGTTAGTGTGTGTTAGTGGGGTGTTAGTGAGTGTTAGTGGGGTGTTAGTGTGTGTTAGTGGGGTGTTAGTGTGTGTTAGTGAGTGTTAGTGGGGTGTTAGTGTGTGTTAGTGGGGTGTTAGTGGGGTGTTAGTGTGGTGTTAGTGGTGTGTTAGTATTTGTTAGTGGGGTGTTAGTGTGGTGTTAGTGTGTGTTAGTGAGTGTTAGTGGGGTGTTAGTGTGTGTTAGTGAGTGTTAGTGGTGTGTTAGTGGGGTGTTAGTGAGTGTTAGTGTGTGTTAGTGAGTGTTAGTGGTGTGCTAGTGTGTGTTAGTGGGGTGTTAGTGAGTGTTAGTGTGTGTTAGTGGTGTGTTAGTGGGGTGTTAGTGAGTGTTAGTGTCTGTTAGTGTGGTGTTAGTGTGTGTTAGTGGTGTGCTAGTGTGTGTTAGTGGGGTGTTAGTGAGTGTGTGTTAGTGAGTGTTAATGGGGTGTTAGTGTGTGTTAGTGAGTGTTAGTGTGTGTTAGTGAGTGTTAGTGTGTGTTAGTGTGTGTTAGTGGTGTGTTAGTGAGGTGTTAGTGAATGTTAGTGTGTGTTAGTGTGTGTTAGTGTGGTGTTAGTGTGTGTTAGTGAGTGTTAGTGGTGTGTTAGTGAGTGTTAGTGTGGTGTTAGTGAGTGTTAGTGGGGTGTTAGTGAGTATTAGTGTGTGTTAGTGAGTGTTAGTGAGGTGTTAGTGTGTGTTAGTGGGGTGTTAGTGTGTGTTAGTGAGTGTTAGTTGTGTGCTAGTGTGTGTTAGTGGGGTGTCAGTGTGGTGTTAGTGAGTGATAGTGTGTGTTAGTGAGTGTTAGTGTGTGTTAGTGTGTGTTAGTGGGGTGTTAGTGTGGTGTTAGTGAGTGTTAGTGGGGTGTTAGTGAGTGTTAATGGGGTGTTTTTATATTTTTATAATTAATGGAAATCGGCCTAATTCTGCCCTGCATGAGTTGTTTGTGGCGTTTCTGTGCACCATTAAAATCATTTCACACAGCTCTGCATGCAGGGTCTCAATCGGATGTTTGTCCCATTTGTGGAATTCCTGATTAGTTAGCGGACCCCACGCTTCACTGCCATAAAGGGCAGTTGGCTCAATTACAGATTCAAATATTTTTAGCCAAATTCTGATAGGAATTTCCACAGAAATTTGTTGTTTTATGGCATAGAAACCCCTGCAGGCTTTGCCTCTCAGTAGTATTCAATATTATTCATACCTATCACAAATGTTTGTTGTTTTCCTGAGATCTGGATCTTTTCTGAAATATCATTATGTTTGTCTTTTTTAGGTTTACTGCCAGGGCCCAGGTCTGGCAGTACTGCTCCAGCAGGTCCAGGTTCTGCTGTAGGCCCTGCTCTGTGGGGGACAGCAGAACCAGGTCATCTGCATAGAGCAGGAATTTAATCTCTGAGTCGTGCAGAGTGAGACAGGGAGCTGTGGACTCCTCTAATATCTTCTCCAATTCATTAATGCAAATATTAAATAGTGTTGGGCTTAAACAGCAGCCCTGTCTCTCTCTGTGCGTCTGAGAGATGGAATTTGTTTGCCAATTTTTATGCTGCATGCAATTCCTGTATACTTTGATTTAATTAGATCATATGTTTTACCCCCTACACCACTTTCTCCCTGTTCTCTCTCTCTCTGTAGGTAGTCAGTGGATCGGTGTGCCTGGTCAGATCCGTGGTTATGAGCATGTTCACAGGCTGTATGGTCGTCTGCCCTGGTCCCGTCTGTTCCAGCCCACTATCCGCATGGCCAGAGAGGGGGTCAAAATCTCTGAAATACTGGCGCGTTATCTCTCCATCACCGAAAGGCAAAGTACACGGTATTTCACACACACCAACATTCATCAAATCTGTATTTGGCCACAACTTACAGCTAACAGCTAGCTCAAGCATTAGCTCAGGGGGGCCCTCTTGGCACTCTTCAGTACTGGTAATGCTTTGAAACGCATAGACAGCTTTTGCAATCTTTATCATCACTTTCTTGGCAAAGCAGCCCAGTTGTCCACATAGCCCAAGCTGTTGAGGGCGCACCAGCTGCGGAGCCAGGGAAGCGGTCTGGAGATGACGATCCTGGCGTCCGTCTTCTTCCTGGCGGCGTCCAGTAGCATCTGGTAGTGCTCCTTCAGGACCTCACTACGTCGGTCAGCGATGTCGTTGGTCCCAACA